GATAACAAACATTGACAACGCTGTTGCTACGACGATGGCTACCGGGATTCTGCAGAATTTAATATGAATTTATATTAAAAAGTTCACACTTTTTCATTTATATCTTAATTTTTAAAGGTACGATTTGTATGATTTTTACAAAAGCACATTCTACACAATATTTATGATTTTTTGGAGTTTACTAAAAGTTCATTGATGCATTAGAAAACTAGTTATGTCGTATAACAAATTTACACGTATTTCACACAGTTTAAATAGGTAACTCCTACTTCGATATAATATACACACACGGTAGTACAGTTATTTTTTTTTTTTACTTAGCTCGCACCACGACCGTGGCGCTGGATAATATATTCTTATATATTACCTATCTAATCCATCTCATTAATTTATCAACATCATATATGTTACGAATTTAATATTATTTAACAATGATAAATTGTGACATCCACTTCAAATTAAATTTTGTGATCCATAAATTCATAAAAGGTATATTATTATATTTTACATTGTAAATAAAACAACATAGGTACTTATATGAATATTTTTTTCCAGATCAAATTTAAAAATATTCTTAAATCTGAAAACAAATAAATAATATCACTTAAAATAAGTATTGTTTTGACATATAATATTGGGTATTGGGCACTAAAATGAATGTTACCAAAGAAAGTCAATTGGTTTTCAATGTAAGTTAAATACATTTTAAACTATGATTTGTATATTATAAATAAAATTGAATTTTATAAAAATAAATAAAAGTCATTATATTATGTTCAAATAAATTTGTTATTACCTATTGCTATTTTAAATATTATTGGAAGTATAGTACAAGCAATAATTATACATAAAGTTTTCTAGAATTACCTTATCACATTTTCCAACCAATAGTAAACTTTAAAATTATACATAACTCATATCAAAGAAACATTACTTTCCTGTTCTGAAACTAGTGTAAAAAGTTTGACATATTTCTTATTTACACTAATACAAAATTAAAATTAATTTATTGAACACAAAAATAACCGCTTAATAACATTCTTATTTATTTTCAAAGTAAGCCAACACTTGACATTTGCTGCAAAATTAAAAATTTTACTTTTATATTAATTAAATTTAATAAGAAATAAAATAAAATATTTTTCTTCGTTTGTTTGGAATTAAAGTTTATTTTAACTTAAACATATATATCTAAATTAAATTTCGTGATATTTATTTTTTAAATGAACTTTAAATTAAAAATGTCACTGTAGTTTTTAAGTTTCTATACTAAAATACTGAAATACTGTATACAATAATAGTGTGTGCATAATATTGAAATAGAATATTTTGAATTTATTATATGTATTTTGTCCAACAACATTGCTGTTTTTATGGTCGAATTGGTTGTTGATTTTATAAAAAAAAATCTGTTTATTATTCACCGGTTTTCTGGACTTACTGAACTCACGTTTTACGTCCACGTGATCTTTATTTAACATAATATTATTTTCGAAGGTTAATTTCTTATTGTCTAAAATTAAATTCTAAATATTTTAATCACATATTTTATTTAATTATTTAGTAAATCATATTCCATGAACGAAATTCTATCAAATCAATTTTCCCTACCGTACTGCGACGTAGGTATATTAGGTAGCCATATTTTAAATATTTTTTAATTTATCATTTATTACTTTTCTTATTATTTTAATATTTTAAATGATGAGATTACTATTTTATAAGTAAAAAAATAAATAAACGGGAAATTATAGAATATAATATTATACACGCACAAAATGTATAAATTAAAACATACAAATTTTTATTTTAGAACGTAATGTAGACTCATGGAATGATAATATTATATTAAAAATTGAAATCTTGAAGTTTAAGTTGAGAGTCTCGTAAAGTATAATAATTTCTCTAACTGTTCAAAAAATACTGAGAATCTTTACAGTCCAATTAAATAGTATTATTTTACACTATACTAGATACCTACTCTATTCAGTATAAGAATTATCTTTATTTCATGGTGATGGTATGAACCATGAGTCCATGAACACTATTATACATAATATATTAAAAAGCATTTATTAACCTTACCTAAGATAACTATTGGCTGAGTTATTAGTATTTATCCACGAAATTGGGCATTCTTATCCCGAATAGAGTACACTGTGTTAGTAGTTGCTTTGATATTCAGTAAATACGTCTGAATTGAAAATAAACATGGTGTTTTCGGTGTAATGCGAGTGATGTATATTATTACTACAATGATAAGGAAACACACAAGTACCTACTACAGAGGTTGTCAAAACTTTTTTACAGTGGTGATTACATACATTTAAATTTAGGCCATACCCACACATTCTGGTCTAGAGTGACAGTTTAAATATTATATTGTATGTCTTACACACATTTTTTCCATATAAAAAATGGTATCCAATCAGATGTTTTTACTCGGCAGTTGCTGCAATACATTATAATATACGACACATTATTGAAAAACCTGAAGAAACTGAATATTGAATGTCTAAATACATATTCTAATATTACAGTGGCCATGTGGTTTTTGTACCGGTAAAATTATTAGTGCGATTAATCTAAGCGATACGACATCAACTATACAATGTACGCGTGCCTATAATAAATAATAATAATTTGTTGAAATCACTATCCGATAGTATGGGTATGATAAATCCAAATTGTTGACATTGTAACACGAATGAATGATGATCTCGTGTAGGTACATACAGGTACCTACTCATTATTGCGGGAACAATGGAATCCGTGTACAAATATATATTTGATGGATAAACGAGTAAACACAAAACAAAGCGAGAAATTCGTGTCATAATTCATGTTATTATCAAAACTCGGCGTAAAAAGTCTGAGATCTATAAAACTCGACGTTGTGTTAATTGCATGGAACAACCGATTCAATTGATTTTTGTTTTATAGGACAATTTATTTAAAGAACACACTACGCACTACGATAAGACGTAACAAGATGTAATGATATAATATCCATTATCGATTATTTGCGATGACAAACAAATAAATAATGACGACTGTCAAATTACATTATTATTTGATGTGACACGGCGTCGTCACCGTCGGCGAGTAATGAAAGACGATAAAGATTGGATATTATATTATTATTATAGTGCGGCACAACATCGAAGGGTATATTCGCCGTAGTCGTATTTTAATAATACTTTATAATATTTACATAAACATCCGTTTACTCATACAAACTATATTTTAATCATTCTTCGATAGGTATACGAAATAGTAATAACGATGAGGTATTTGTCTTTTAGACATTTGAGTTTTTCCTAAAACAGTGTTTTTTTAGGACAATTTTAATTAGCGCAATTGCTTACGGTACCCTGTGTGTTTAAAGGTTCATCGGACATTTCAAAAAGTAATTTGATACGAGCTGTAGTGAACCAATGTAGCCGATGAAGCATAAAGCTTGAAACATCAGACACATTGGTATATATACTATAAACAGGATACCAAAGTAATAGTGTAATTTAATTGTTTTTTATAGGTAGTTACAAAAATGCATCAGGCTGAAAGTCTGAATGTTACACACCAGTTATGTATTTTACTTATTAATTGTTATTATCTGTTTAATTTTATTCCACCAAATTCAATATCAATATCATTATTTGAAAAAAAAATTATCTACAATATTAAGGTGTTACGTTGAAATATTTGAAATAAACAGACATACGCATAACATTTTGAAACATTTTAAAAATACTAAAGTTCATAAATCCTATAAATATCCTTCAAATTTGATTTTAGGTGAAAATATAATAGCTTAAAGTTATTATTCCTCTAGCTGACCGTCAGTTCTTGTTGAACTAAAAACAACATGATAATATATTATACGGACTGTCAGTCATGGACACAGAAAAAAAGGTCTTGTCAAATTAAAGTTGATTTTTAGGTTTCACTTCGTCTGAGTAGAAAAAATGTGTCTTTTTTGTTCCAATAGACGCAGCAGATCTGCAGTTTACATACTATAACCAATAACCATACTTTCATAATGAACTTTCATATAGTTCATCAACCATTATTGTATATACAGAGTGGCACCAATACCAGGGCGAGGGATTCCCATTTCTGGACCCTCCCCTGCTTGAACCGTATTTGAGTACCTATTCGTGTCAATAAGCGATAAATCTAATTTGGTATTGATGCAATTTTAATAATTATTATAATTTATATTTAACATTAACATTTATTGTAATTACCATTAGGTACAGAACAAAAAAAAAAAAAACCAAAGAACTCACCACTCTGGTGAATAATATAAGTTTCATAATTGTCATTGATGTGTTAAATTTAAAATGCAATAATAACATATTTATATATTGTACATATATGAAAAACGATGTTAATCCAATGCGATGTAGAAGCCACTACTCACAAGGAAAGTCGCTATAACATATTTATATTAAAAACCAATATTATGAAAATGGTGTCTAGACTAAAAAATTAATGCTTGAATAAACATAGTTTGGTAAATTTTCCTAGTCCTCAAGGTCCACTATAAGCATCAACAAAACAACGAAATCGATTTTGTTGTAAACTGCAGGTGTTGCGTAAACACTCGCCTGTTTTCCAGCTATCCGTTACCGCGGTTATTAATAAAACTACTGAGAATTCCTCACTTTCAACACCTCTCCTCAACGTAGCTAGATTGGATTTCCTATACAAACCTCAACCTCGACATTATGCCGAACGCGAAAAATAGCCGAAGCAGTACATGGTTTTTATCGTTGCAAAAACAACGTCATAATGTACGTTCTCACCCACGATGGCCGTATGAGCACAATATTACAATATAGCGCGTAACCCAATTGTATAATGTATAGTAGTAGCTGGTCATCAGAGGTGAAAACCAAATAATATAGACTTCGTGTCCCGGCAGCATCATATTATTATTACTATAATATAGTGCCTATATTATTATTATTACAGTGTTAAATCGACGTATATACCTTGAATTTGTGGGTCTCGGGGTCCATGTCTAGCAACGAATAATCGGCGATCCGGTCGCCGTTCGAGTCGATATTGACGTCGCCCGTGATGCCGGTAAACGTCTTGTTCCACATGGCCTTGACGATGGCCATCCCGTCGGACTGGTTGCCTCCCCTGGCCAGCGTCTCGTTGAGGGCCAGCCCGTACAGCAACACAGCGTCGTAGAACGCTGTCACAAACGTCGAAACGGACTCGTTGCCAAACGTGTAGTTGTACTTTTCCTCCGCCACGCGTTTCACCTGAAAACCACGCGGTGACGATATGAGTTCCGGTTTAGATTATCATCATTGTTTTTAGACCTTTCCGCAAAGGTCCAATTATAATAATATTATGTCGTTACGGTGTACAGCATAGGTACTATAAATCGATAGGTATTGCGTATTTGTGACATCGAAACCACACCGAGTAGCGATGTTTGGGTAGGTATTTCTTTAAAAAAAAAAATAAAAATAGGTCTTGTCGACAGATAGCGTCTTGACAGTTTATATTATACTACATTGTTTACATTACAGTAATAGTACACAACTACAGGAAATGGGTAGAAAATGTGTATTGAATACGGTATAGGTATACCTACTACCTACGTAAACTTTTCGTTGTCGTATTATTAATAATTGAGAGACCCGAGTCTTCTCGGGATATTATATTATTTTATTCCTGTGCAACTTCAACAAGTATGAGATTATAAAATAATATATAAGAATATCATGATGTTGTATTTCAAGTTACCATAGCAGACGTGTGAAAGTCTCGCGTGATCACAGAATCTAAATACGTATTTATTAATCAAACATCGTACTTTAATAATTATTAAAGCACATCGTTTTCAAATTCCAAACGTATAGTTTCGGGCTGGAAATCTGGGAATCAATCAATATTGTGTACATTTTGGTATCGTTGTTTGTTATTTTATTCATTCATCTTTTGCTAAAGTGAATGCTCCATGTCAGTTATATTATATTATAATTCGTAATTAAAAAAAAAAAATAAATATTTATTCATAGAGTCATCTTTGTGTTTGCATAATATGACCAATGTAAGTAATCAGTTGTCGAGTTGAATAAATTGAAAAATATATGTCGAAAATTAATAATAAGTTGAACATGACGTACAATGTGGAATACTAAACGATTCCTTTGAATAGAGTCTGTATAATATAAAGGAACCCCAAATACTGCGCACAAGATAAATCCAAACCAAATGACATTACAAAAAGTAAGAACCTCAAAGTACTTACAATTAACATGGCTTGTTAGACGAAAATCCCAGAGACTTACGCTGTATACCAACTACTAACTGTGTAGGTACTATTATCACTACAGATGACATTTTTTGTTCATAATTTAAAAATGTGTTTTCGAGAATGACAACTACTTCGCACTAACATCGGTGTACAAACGAACAATTATTATTTGTCTTTGATTTTCACTGATATACTTCACTGGGTGTTATCATTGGAATATGACTTTTATTATAACGTTATATAATTTAATTATGCCTGTTTTGGTATATTATTATATAATTATTATATAATTATACATATAAATAGTTGTGCTATATTTTTTTTTTTTTTTTATTCATGGTACAGCATCAACTGCTAAGGTTATTAGCTTGCAACAAAAATTGGTAATTAGTACATAATAGAGTATAGTTATACAATAAATTCTTAAATTAAATTATACATATCAATTTGTTTTAAAAATATGATTATTTTGTTGGTGTTGTCATGGATAGGGCTGAGGGCTTCAAAGAGGTTGTCGGGCAATTTTAGACTTTTTCTGGTATCTATATGGATACGGCAGTGGATAAGGAGGTGCTTGACTGTGAGAGGTTCTCCGCAGGTTAGGCACATTGCTGGTTCTTCTCTGCGCATAAGATGTCCATGGGACATCTTTGAGTGACCTATACGTGATCTATTGATAACTACTTCATCTTTGCGATTTGATGTATGGGGTTTAGGCCAGTATTCGGTAGTATTTTTTATTTCTCTCAGTTTGTTATTGGGTGTACGACGCCATTCAGATTCCCATAAATTGGTACAAAAGGTGTTGACATTCCTATGGATGTCGATGAGTGAGGAGTACGTGCGTATTTCGGTCAGAGGGTTATTTACTGCTTCACGAGCTACTTTGTCAGCTTTCTCATTGCCATCAATTCCACAATGGCCATTTGCCTATATGAACCGTATGTTCTTGTTGGCTTTTTCAATGATGTTGCTTATTTTGATTGCTAGGATGCTTGAGTGTAAATTATATTTCAGATTGTTTAGAGCGCTGAGCGAATCTGTACAAAAGTTAATGGTGGAATCGGGTAGTTGAATGGCTAGATGGACTCCTTCCAGGAGTGCAAAGTATTCCGCCGTATATATACTGTTATGGTCTGGTAATTTGTACGATATGGATTGCTCTCCGTTTATGATAGCGATCGCAACACCTGAGTTTGTTTTGGAGGCATCTGTATAGATTTGTGGTTTAGATGGAAAAGAGTCCATGATCTCATTGAATACATTTTTATATATAACATTTAACGTTTCTTTTTTACTATGATCCGCTATACTGGTGTCCACAAGACATTTTAGAACCCTTCAAAGAGGCACCACACTGCATTCTCGTTTGATAATTAAATTAGGATCAATATTGGTGTGTGACATTTCATATAACATCCTTAAACCCAGTGGTTTTTTTAGATTGGGATTGGAGCAAAATGTATTTGCAAAACGATTTTGTGTTAAAAATGGTAATGTTGAGTTTTCTGGGGAGGATAGGATGCGAGCAATATAATTTAGAGCTAATTTGATTCTACGAATGTGAAGGGGAGGTTATCCAGAGGTAGATAATATACTTGGAATGGGGCTGCTTCGAAATGCTCCAGTTGCAACTCTTAGACCGCTGTTGTGAATTATATCAATTGTTTTAAGAATATTGGGGTTTTCACTGGTATAGCAGATGGATCCATAGTCTAATTTGGACCTAACGAGAGATCTATATAAGTTGATTAATATATTACTTTCAGCTCCCCATTCAGCGTGGCTCAACGTTTTTAAGATATTGATACTTTTGGTCGTGGTTGTTTTGGTCTTACTTATATGAGGTTTCCAAGTAAGCTTGCTATCAAAAATCAAACCTAGAATTTTTATGTTGTTTACAAAGGGTAAGGGTGTGTTTCCCAAAAATAACTTTGGTTTTGAACTTTGTTTCTTTTTGGTAAAAATTATACATTTGGTTTTTTCTGGTGAGAAAATAAAACCTGAGTGGAAGCACCACTTCGACAGATCATTTAGGCAATATTGGAGTTGACGTGTCATTGATTTAATGTTTTTCCCTTTGAGATAAATATGTGTGTTATCGGCAAACATAATTGATTTGACAGGATGTGAAATTTCATCAGGTAGGTTGTTGATTGCAGCTTGAAAAAGTAGAATGCTCAGGGGGGATCCTTGTGGGACTCCGTTCTCGAGATCAAATTTATCTGACATGTGTTCATTAATTCTTACTTGGAAAGAACGTTCTTTAAGAAAACTTGTTATAAATTGTAACATTTGCCCATTAATGTGCCATTTCCTCAGTATATTTAAGACTCTATGTCGCCAGACTGTGTCATAAGCTTTCTGAAGGTCTAAACTAATGAGAATCATGGTTTGTTTGTATTGGCATAAGATTCTAGTATTTCTGTTTCAATTTTAACATGGCAATCTGAAGTGGACTGAGATTTCCTAAATCCGTGCTGGTTTGGAGATAACAGATTGAATTTTTGTACATACCTATTAAGCCTGTTAAAAATTATTTTTTCAAGTGTTTTGCTCAGGTTACATAAGACAGAAATAGGGCGATATCCTGGAGGTTTATGTTTGTCTTGCTCTTTCTTAGGAATAGGGGTAATGCTAGCATTTTTCCATAACGATGGTATAATACCGGACAACCAGACATTATTATACAACTCGAGGAGTAGGATTTTACCTTTAATGGAGATGTTCTGGAAAAATAAGAACGGTATGTTTTCTGGTCCACAACTGTTACTTTTTTTTCCTTCAAGACTATAGAGTTAAGTTCTGACATTGTGATAGGATCGTTGAGAATTGAACCTTGACTTGTTGTTGTTGTGGGGCTCGGTAAGGTAATCAATTCTTGCGTTTCTTTAAATTTCAAAAAGTCTGGATTCAAACTACGAGTTACTACTGTTAGAGTAAAAAAACTGTCCTATTTGGTTGGTTATCTCTTTAGGATCTGTAAAAACGGTTTTCCCTACCAACAGTGTTTTATTTGTGTAAAAGGGACTGGAGGTCTTTTTCCAGAGTATCTAGTTAATTCGAAAACGTCAGAGGCTGTATTTATAATGAGATCGGTGAACAGTTTTATCTTATCTTCTACATTAGTAGTATGAGTCCAAGGAGTTGAGTCAATATTTTTATCAATTTCCGTTTGATATATACTCCAGTCGACATTTTTTAATTTCCATTTTTTTTTCTAGTATACTGATTATGGGAGTTTGTGTGATTTAGCGTCATAATGATAGGAAAGTGGTCACTGCTTGATAATTCTGGTATGACATCCCAATCTATGTAGGGAGTGATTGTAGCTGATGAGAATGAAAGGTCGATGGCTGAAAAGTATCCCGTGCTTGCGCTAACTCTTATAGCTTGGCCACTGTTAAGTATATTGAGGTCATTGTTGCTGTATAGTGTTTGCTCGATTGTTGATCCTTGTGAGTCAAGAGTGGAACAGCCCCACAAAGGACCGTGGCTGTTGAAGTCTCCTAAGAGAATATAAGGGGAGGGGAGTTGATTAATAATGTTTTGAATATCGGATTGCTCAAAATTTTGAGAGTTTGGTAGATATAAATTGCTGATTGTTATTGAATTTTTGATTAAAAAATTTACTGCGACCACTTCTAGATTGGTATTAATGATAATTTCTTCGGAGTGATAATTTGAATTTACATAGATTGCCACGCCACCACTGGCTCTGCCAGCATTGGTTCTATTTTTGTAGTATGTTGTGTAGTTTTTTAGGGAGCAGACCTTGTCGTTGATAAAATTAGTTTCTTGTAGACATATTGAGATTGGACAGTATTTGTTTAATAGTAAATTGATTTCGTCTAATTTGGAGTAGAATCCATTTGGATTCCATTGAAGTATTTTAAGACTGTTATTAATTGTCATGATAGGTTTGATATTTAGTTTATTTGGTACGTAGTAGATGAATGGATATCTAACAAGCTAGTAGGTTTCGTCATCAAAACTGTCAGCATAAGAAGTCTGACTAGAATTTATGTTTCGAACTTTTTCGAGTGCTTTTGATAATCTTGTTAGACGGTTTTTAATACTTTTAATTGTTACAACAGGGTAGATGTTTGTAATGATTTGGATTATATTTTCTGGACTACTATTGTGCTCCATACATAAACTCTCGAGATCAACCTTGCGAGTTTTCGAAAAAATCTTTAAATTGATTGAGTGATAATTACATTTGAGGGTTGGAGTTGAACAGATCTTTGGTTGGATTTAACCCTACATCGATATTTGAATAGAAGCTATCATTTGAACTGGTGCTGGTTCTAACTTTCGGTTTTTTGTGTACTTTTCCATTAGGGTTTTTTGATGGCTGGGTTTTTCCTTCAGGTGCGTTGGGAGGCTTCATTGTTAAAGGATTTATGACATTGAAAACAAGTTACTGTGTCATCGGTAATAAATATTCTAAAGGTAGTGTTTTCTAATGTTACTGTGAATGAACTAGGTAGTTTGGATACACTGTCTTGATTAATGTATAGGTACTTGTCTTCTGAAACTTAGTATATTATGCGTGAATTGTTCTGTTGCAAAACCAGCTTTCATATGAGAGATTTGGGAAGTGGTTTTAATTCCTATTTCATGGAGAGCGTTTAGTATAAGGTGATTTGTGATACAAATTGAATATTTTATGCGGGTATAATTTGACTGATTGCGATAACGTATTCGATTTGTTTGATGTTGTTAATAGAGTTAAAAACGATTGCTTGGTTCATTTTTGGTAATGTAACATTGGAGGCTATATATTCTACAAATGTTGCAGTATTACGTATATGTTGGGAAGCACTGTTTGTGTTGTTCATATCGTCAGATATGGTGGTTATGGTAGTGGGCTTATCGCCCATCGTAATAAGTTTGGGATATTTATTTAATTGGTGTAATTAAGGCAATAATTATAGTCATATTACCTGCAACGCTGAGTTTTAAAACAGACTGGTGTGTTACTGATATCGATAGTTATAAATGCGATACTATAGGAGAACACACGTGTTGAACGGTCGGACGTTGAACACGAACTGTGTGCTATATTATATTATATATTATACAAATATAAAATAAGTATATGATCATTAATCATACGTTAAACCTAAACGAATTAAGTAAACAAAACGTATATGGCACAGTTGTATAAAAGAACATTTGTTGCACATTTGTATAACTTGTCAAAGACAACAAAATGTATAAAAATGTTAGCTATCAGTGTGTGTGTGTGTGTGTGTGTGTGTGTGTGTATGTGTCCTTACCGAAGTATGACTAGAATTCCCGATCGGTCAAAATCTACGGAGAATGCCCTGTATACAAAGTTTAGCTATCAAATATATTATTGAGTATGAAATAAGAAGAAAAAATTCCATTTACATTTAATGTAAAACGCAAGTAGGTACACAAGGACTTAGTAAAAGGGCATTATAATGAATGAGGGCAGGAAAATATATAAAGCTATTATCACATTCGGTTTGTGCATAAAATACGAATTCAAAAGCATATTATGTGTATAGTGTATATGGACGCCGAGCAGGCATTAATGTATTATACCTAAACTGCTGCGTGAGAATTAGTTCATTCGGAGTAAACACACCGTTGATAGCCCTACGCCTCTTCGTGATTTGAATTAAATAAGAATTTCTGAAATGTTGAAAAATAATATATATTATTATTTATTACATAGGTAGGTTTAAAAAAAAACAATTTAAGTTACTCCGTAAATATTTATATAATAAATAATACATATAATATTTTCACCATTATTATTTAAAAATTATTTTAGCTTAATTTAAGACAGTATTATGACACATTTATTTCAACCCATCCACCGGAAATGCAAATCATTCAACTCGCGCCATTCTTCACTGACTTGTATTATAATATTATGAATGTAAAAAAAAGCGCTTTTGATGTAGGTAACGAAATAATAATAATGGTCAAGCGTACATTATATTTTATAGGCACCTAAAACAATATATTACTCTAAGTAAAAACGATTACATTTCCGGAATAAAGATGAAAGAAAACCTATGAAACCCCGGAAAACTAACAGAAATAAATCCTATATAGTCACTTACACAAAACTACGAATAGTAAATATAATAAAAATATTAAACCTTAGTATAATAATATTGTAGTATAGGTAAGTATAATAGGTTTAAGAGAAAAATTAATACATTAATATTGTTTTGGTAATAAATAACAATCACATTTAAATTTATATATTTTATTAACGTAATGCATGGGAATAATTATTTAATCCCGGAATTGTTCATTTTCATAATTACTAATAATTTTTTTTAATAAATTATTTATGTAAATTATATTTTAATAAAATTTATAGGTAGGTATCTACATTTTAATTTAATTAATATTTCATAATCTACTATTGTAGGTATTGGGTTTTTTATTTACGAATTAAATTATACCTAAAGATATGTTATTATCACCAATTTTTTTTTCAAATGAGAACCAACCTTTTTTCCTGTAAATCATTAAACAGTTGATTTTTAAAAATATTTTAGTATAAAATAAACAAAATTCAAACGATTTGTTTCTGAGTTATTAAAATCTATACTGTCCTATAAAGTATAATAAGGTGTAATACAGATGTCACATTTAATCTAGTAATTATTATACAATTTTTACAAATGATAAAATACTGATATAGTAATATATTAATATTAATAATAAATTATTATAATTTTAAAATCATCTTCACCCCATATTTTTAAACACTATTACCATAATGGGCTATTATCCTTAGTACCTACACAGAATTTAATAATTGAGATATAACTCGTTCTATTTTCAATTTATTCACATCAACTTTTTAAAAATAATAATCTGCTTAACAATTTGCAGTACTTAACATAAAGTGGTTCTCATTTTATTTTTATAAATTAAGTTTGTACCATGAGATATTCTTTAAACAGCATAACGAGTTAAATTAAATTATGGAAACACGCGGTATTGAAGTGTACCTAAGAATTTCAAATTTCGATAATCAGAGTGGGAATAAATTTAATACTTAAGAAAAAATATGGGGTGAGCTACTATACTTAATGATTCACCCTGTATATATTATAATAATGTTCAAATTATTATAAATATTTTTGATATTTCGGATGAAATATACGACCGTCGTTTTGGGTCACATAAGTCATTTCACAAAACAAAAAGCCCATCTAACCTAACGCACATGACCTACCAGATCCACCATAGCGAATTGTCGCGATAAGGTAAACTGATCGATTTATTGCCGACCCAAATGTACAAACATAACAACTGTGTGTTTTTAACGTAAAACAATAAAAATAATGCAAAAAATCCATCATGCATCAAAATAATAATATAATGGAATGAAAATTGAAATGATTTTTTGTTCTTGTGGCCGCTTTTGCGTGTTACTTACCTCGACGGAAAAGTTGCGATACGCTTCGTGGTTGGGCTCACGTGCCGTCACCGTGAGCAGTGCGCTGTACGCGTTTTTCGCCCGCTCGTTCCGCTCCGCTGTGTCGTTGCCCACGTACCACGGCATCAAGGATCCGTTGTTCAGGCTGCGGAGAGGGCACATAAAAATTAACAAAATAATAAATAATAAATACCAACAGCAACAAACATTTTACACAAAAGTACGCCGCCGCGGAGATGGTTCCTTGGCTTTATTAAGCTGAGTGATAAAAATGCCATTATTGAAGTGGCTTAACACGGGACTGTGCAGCCTGCAGACGCACATCCGCGGCAACTACAAACCATTACGACCACTCTTAATATACCTACTATATATTATTTTATATAAATATATATACGCAAACAATATGATATATACATATATATATATATATATATATATATATATTATTTTAAAATAAAATGAAATCTGCACAAACAAAGTAAGTATTACCTGCAGCTACTAAGTATTTTACGTCGAAACATTTTTTACATATTTGATAGTTATAAATGAAACTGATTTTTAAAACCCGTGATGAACATTGTTTATTTTCTAAGAATTACATTTTAAGCTCATGGCATAAACGCAACGATGAAATATCAACAACTAAAGTGGCTGCTGATGAGATTTCATTTAAGAAAATGTGAAAAAAAAATGGTTTGTCAAAATTCCAATGTCATAGTCCATAGACCCGAGTTATATCGAACTATAATATATTTGTCCCCGTATACTCGTGTACACAAAAAATACATATATTATTAAATTGAAGCGGAAAAAAGACGCTTTGACATTGCATTATATACTTTAGGGAAAACTCGTGGGATGTTCATTTTAGGGTGGTAATGCAAGCTGCTTTAAAGTAATACGATAAAGCCTTTTTCGTCTTTCGAATACTGTAACGTACGATGTGTGAAATATCAATACGAAACTCCCGATAAAAAAAAAAAATGAAAATCCTGTAAATGTCAGTTTAAATAAGTCCACAAATGATATATTTTTATAACGTAAATACCTATATAGAAATACCTTTTCAACTATTAGAAAAAAAAGTACCTCATCTAGAGAATTTTTATCAAACAAATTAATTTTCATGAACTTTATATTTATTGCATATTACTATATCATATGAACTGTAAACAAAAATCAGTCTTTCTATCCCTTCTTTGAATCTATTAATATTATAACACAGTTTTTTAAATTAGGTAGGTAGTAAAGCTAAAATGAAATATTAATTCATTAACTGAGCTTTTTATTATATATTATACATTTAAGATACAATATATTATAAAAGTATATTTCATAGTTACACAGCTAATGGTACTTTTTGTAAACAAAAAAATCTAAAAAGTGAAACGATATTATCTATATATCAGTTTTATAGCATTTTAAATTTGTGAAATGTTTATATGAAAACTGAACAGAATTAAAAATCATTTGCTTAGTTTAGGATACCATCTCAAGGTTAATGACTTCATAAATAATAATCAATTTAGTGTTTTATCACCTACTCTTAAAAATATTTGTACGTTATTAAACTTATATACGTATGCTTTAACAAGACTTGAAAACTAGCCTGTAAGATGCAACGCTTGATAATAATTATTATACAACCTCAATATTGAGACTCAAATTTAAGTGTCTACCCAATTTTTAAGATATACCAACAATCAACTTAGGTACCTAAACGTATATAATTATATGAATAACTAGTAGTATTTACGGTGAGTTGTTTGTGTTTTAATAATTATATTGTCATCAAATACTGGATGAATTTGATATGTCAATTGATTTTGAACTATTAAGACGATAAGGAAATAACGAAATATAAACGAATCGACAAAGCTGAGTCCATTTAAATAATAATATTATAATTACGGGAAACGACTGTGGCACAATCAATCTAAAAAAATAAAGAAACGCACAGGCACATAGCGGTAAAAATAAAAAAATATATATTTTGAATTTTTTTTTTCGTTTTTGCGACCAAATTAGCTTAATTGGAATGGTCTACGTTCGAAATCGCATAATAAAATATTTACATCGACTGCGGGCTTGAGTTTTAATGAGATTTTCGTTATTCACATTTTCGACCAATCTCTGTAGGCAGGAACTATTAGTACATCCTGGTACACATTCATTTAAATTATTGTTTTGAGGTGTTTTTAAGCCCCCGACCGACCCACCGCGACGGTCAAGTTAAAATGTAGGTCCCGATTATTTCACTCTTTTTTTTTTTGCCCCTATAATCCGATGGACCCGCTGTCACGTGTTCGAAAGAATAAAAATAAAACATTTTCGAGAAAGAAAAGGGAGCAAAAAAATAAAATAAAACTATAGTGAGAAAGGTTTCGCACCATCAACGTCCTTAATACAAATGTCGTATTCGTTTCAAGACTTAACCAACACCGCAATAATGTAGTGGGGGCTTTTAGTATATTATGCAATAACGTATAAGTAAATAATACATTTTTTTTTTGGCATAAATACTTTTAAGTATATCCTAATTATTTCTATTGCAGATAATTTCATCATGTATTCATGACAAAATATTGAACGGTTCATAATAATATTCGAACACTAAAAATTAGAGAAAACTATAAAATACACTTTCAGAGTTCGAGACAGTATATGGCTTACAATAAAGTGTTTGTGAAAACAGTTCTACATGAACATATTATTATTTTTAATGTTACTCAAAATATTGAATAGGTAGTTTTTTAGAAGTTTTGTACTGCACGGACTAAAAGTATTATGAATTATTGCTTAAAATAAGAGGTCTGGTCTATGGACTTCGTATTTTGTATAATATGCCCGGAGCTGGTATAATTGAGCATTGGTTCTAATTTCACTACTGATGTACATAATATAATCAAAGCAGTGTAAGAAAATTAAAATTATAAAATATGTAAACATATTTATCAGTTGTTAGTCAAGGCATGAATAACTTTATTATTTCATTTTAAAAAGTGAAGGATTTATTTTATCCAATATTATATCATTCTTATTGCTCATCGCAAACCAAATACCCATTTATTTTCCGTATTGTCCACAAAAAATGTATATTATATTTTTTCTTTTGTGTTCGTCTACCATTTTGAGGTTGTTGATACACACACTTTATTAGTTACAAAACTTAAATTAAACTTTTACAACAGACTTACGAAAAACATAAATTTATTAAATACTCTGATGTCACCCTATTTAACAGTTAATGCATTTTTTATCATGTTGTAAGTCACTCTCTGAACACTTAATTAACAAATGTTTAATCTATTTCTGAGAAATTTAAAAATCTCTTTCAACATCATAATGTAATTACAAAATGAATTCCTTTAATTATTGTCTCACAAGGAATAAACGATTATGTTTACCAACAGCATTGAAAGTGTAATTTTATTTATATATTATCGAATACCAACTATACACTTCCATCAAAACTTATGAAAGCCGTTCCTTCTGTTTCTGGGTATTTATCCCCTTCTTTGGGTAGTGATTGAGTGTATTAGATTTCAATCGACGATTAAAGAACATCTATGTATTTCCCATATTATATCGTAAAAGGCGATGTTTAAAACAATAGTTTATTATTATTAAATAATATTATGCTCATATGTTTCAATAAAAATAAACTAATCTTATTCTAATTGAGATAAAATTGATAGTGATTGGACTATTTCTTAAGTACAGCGGAAGCGTCTCATACATTTTCAGTCAAAATATTTGTTTATTAATAGGTAATTTTTAAGAACAAAAAATGGTTAAATCTGAATGGCATAATATGAGTGTGACATGCAAATAAGATAATAATAAAAAAAAAAAAAAGAACTGAAAAAAGTATTAAAGAGTAACGTGTAAGCGAGAAAGTTTGCTCTCGTAAAAGTATTGTCACAGATAAAATATTCCAGAATGTATTATATAGTTGAAAATTATCACGATCAATATGTATTATCGTTGAAGGAGAAGTTGAAGTACCCATGTAAAACTCCAAATTCGATTAACAAAAAAATAAAACTCAGACTATTACATCATACACATAATTTTCTTAAAGAGCAACGTGCTTACAGTTCGCAAATGAGCGATGCTAAAACATTTATTTCACAAAAATCATAAAAATAAAATACCATTCATCACACAAATATAATAGCCAACACTTGTTTCAGCATCGTGATTCAATTGTGATAAACAATAAACTACAATTATATACAAACTTATACAAACTTAAATAAACATATACTCGAATGTACATAGTATCTATCTACGACAATGAGCATGTAAGTACTTGATGAAATGCTTGACATTTTGGGGTAAATATAAACATAAAATCATTATGATTTTTGTATGAAAGTTTGAATAGCATTAACGTTATTTATTAATCTTAGAGTGTTTTTTGTTTTTTTTAATATTGAAGTTGTGAAATGTTTTAATTATAAATCAGTAGGTAACCTTTCATAACATTTATACCTTATGTATATTAAGTATCTAATTTATGGAATTATTCGTACACTTGTGCCATATTTTAATCTTATATTGTATACGGCGTAAATGTTGTAAATAATCAATAACTTTATTAACTGCAATGGTGATATTTTGATCAAATATATATGAATAGTTCTCATGGCAATATTGTTTAAAAATATCTTCACCTTTGTAACCTTAAGATTTTTCATGCTTAATAAATTAAACTTTTTTGAATTATTATTATAATTTTCACTTCCGTCATTAATTAATTAGTTTAAGAAAAAAATTATTTGTGGGAAAACTTCCGCTTATACAATAGAGTTTATCTTAAAGGGGCGTCCATGTTCAAAATAAATTATGACCCTATTTTGGGTACTCTGTAAAACGAGAAACTAAATAGCAATGTACGAACAGTGTTAATTTAGTTATGAAGAATGATGCAATAGATTCTACAGACATTTTATTTGTGTCTCGCACTATAAAAACATATTTATCTTTATATTTGTACCAGAAAATGTATGTCAATGTGAGCAATGTATATCACTTTGCCTTTTCAATTTGGGCAGTTCAAAATAAAGTAATTTAAACGTTTTTTTTTTACTAAAATCCCTAGCCCTCCCAAACGAGTACGGGTAATGTGATCCATTAATAATAATATAATAAAAAAATAAATGTTATTTATACTAATAAATAATAAAATATTATAAATGACAGTACATACCCACAATGTATATTGTATATTGCATATATAGATTTTAAATACAGAAAAACATAAACATTTTTCAATTTTAAACGCCTTAATCGCAATCCATGTTTTTTTTTTTTAAAACAGAACATACTAATTTGAGCGAAAAATTGATGATGATGAAAAAAAATAATGAGAGTATATTTAAAATTGTGTATGAAGTATCTATGTTATAATAATACGTAATTATGCTTATCAATACAACTTACAGATTATAGTGACCAACAGTTATGTTGAAAATAGCGAAATGTAATTTAATATTTTATAGTTATATATATATAGGTACAAAAATTGACAAGTTCGTAAAAATGAATCGACATTCATCTATACTAAAAATTTAGTGGTTATAATTATAATGCGGATAGTAGATAAAATACAAACTAAATATAATACCAGCCACGTAAATATAATTTATTTGTAAGGTTTAAACGAATCTAAAGTTGTATAGGAATCTATACAAACTTTAATAGTATAATGTTAGAATTGCCAAAAAAAAATAATGATAAGTTGGTACAAAGACTTTCTAAATAACTCGAATAAATTAATACGAAAGTTGATGTAGTTTTACTCATACCAACTAAATTAATATATCATTTCAAACAGTTAGTCACTTGAATAGCTGAAAGTCAAATGTATAACGTTTTAAATGAAAACAACGGTCTAGTGGCAACTTTCTACCAAAAATATTAAAATTATTCGAAAAAAGATGTCTTACAAACAATAAATGTGTAAATATAATACATTTTTAAACATTGATATTTTTCTTGAAAGGAATAATAATACGGCCACGCTTTATATATAGGCTTAAAATTAAAAGAGCCATTTAAAATAAAAATCAGACTATAAACTTTTTTAAATAAATTATTATAAATATTATTTTCATTTAACGATTACGTTAGGATTTTATTTCTTTTAAATAAGATTTAAATGGATTATGACGTTTGATTATAATATTTTTTAATTTGAAATATCTTAATTATATCCTAATATTCAAAATAACTTACAATCCAGTATATGCGATCACATAGTATACCATTGATGGTTGTTGGTTACGAAATGATATAGAAAAAAGGTGTCACGTTAAAAACAACCTCAAAAGCTACGTATAGTCCTTTTTGAGAAACCAAATTTATGCAAGATAAAGAAAAACATATTTTCAGTATCGTAGGCTCTTTATTATTATTATATATAAATAGGTATATTTCTTTTTAGTAAAATAATTGTTAAATTAAACAAGTTATTATAGTTTTAAAATCCGTTAGTTTTATGTTTTTAAACTTAAATAACTTTTTTTTATAAAAACTTGAAAATAAATAACAACGTTACGACACAGCAAATATTGTCTTATGTACCTATGTGTATATACAATTGGTTTCTCAACTATAACAGTAGGTAGTCAGACTGTCAGAGTGGCTCTTTTTCACACTAAACAGATTTAACAAACAATTTATAGGTGGGTGTCAACTATTTATGGTTTGTTATTTTAGAAAATATATTTTAGATTTTACAATGTATTGATTTTACAATGATGAGTGGTTGTTTTTATTTTTGTGTTTATTATGACCTATTGGGATAGTAAAAAATGCTTAAATTTTCAACTTTGAGTGTGGTTTCTGGTAGCAAATTGTATCTAGTTTATACTTCAAGAAGTCAAAAGTAAAGAAATTCCTAACATTTTTCAAAATAATAAATAATAAAAAAACTACTTTAAATTTTAAATATTCACCAAATATTAATATTATCATGGTTTATACATCGTATAGTTTTCAAAATATTTTGAGCTATTTATTGAATTTTAAATAAATAATAAGATTTTTTTAAATATCGGTAGGTACAGTTATTAATAGTTTGCCTATCAAAAAGCTTTAAAATGTAATATAGGTAAAGTTACCTTTAAAATTTAATATACGTATAAATAGTTAATGCTAGAACCTGAAAAAATCTAAAAAGTATTCATTTGAATTTATTTTTAATAGATATTTCAAATATTGTAAGTTCAAATTAGGACAAAGTTATATATTCAAACAAAAAATAACAAGTTTGGTTATTTTGTTGTAGTTCAAAAATATTATTTGTGGGGACTTGCATCTTATATGCGTATATCATAAAATTTTAATATTTTATAAACGCAATGAAATTTTAAAATGCAATGTTTTGAGGCCAACAATAATTTAACCTATCGGATTACTAACAGTAAAATAAATCACTTTAATATATTATACTAAAATATAATTTGTACTTCATTATATAGGCCATCTTCGCTCAAAATCGTTTTTCGTATACAACGATTTATCATTGATTTCGAATTTAACATTACTGTGACTTACTCAATTAGGATCTACACTCAACGGCATACAGCATACAGAAGTTACGTCTTACTTTCCCCCTTTTTCTTAATAGTATTTTGGGGTAATTTTATCGGAATAATATTATTGTCTTTAAACTATTTTGAGTTTTAGTTTTAAAAGTATTTTCTATATTTTTGATATGTTTGTTAGTCAGGCACCTAATCAACAAAAACGGTCCATCCCATAACTGTTATGGCGAAATTGTTCAAATTAACAAAATAAGCTAGTTGCATGATTAACAAATGCCGCAGTGTCGTTAAATCACACGTCTACACCTAATATTCGAGATAGTACTTCAATTTTCCAATAAAACATAAATGATTTCATAGATATATTATTTAGGTACCTACCTATACAAGTACCTATACATATTTTATATTTTAAGTATTTAATATGTAGAAATTCGTAAAAAACACAGCCTATATGAGACTTTTTTTATATTAATTCAAAGTAAAATATATCGATAGTGACATCTGTCAATTATACGCATTACGTGAGTATAAGATACCCTCTCTTTAGTTCGTTTTGAATCTGAGCGTATTTACGTTATACTTACTAAATACTATGGTATTGGCTCATGGGTTTGAAAAATGACATGTTTTGGCAATTGCTTTTCAGCAAGCTCGCGTGTGCTCTCCCTGGATGTTATCTGCAGCCAATAAACTACTTATCTTACGTGGAGGGTTTCAAGAATGCATACAATGTGTGATCCGTTTAATTTTCTACACTTATTGTTTCGAAAAGTTTCAACATCTTTTAGATATTTTCTAACAAAAATTGATTTTAATTGATTGTTGAAAAACAATATAAAAAGAATGTCAACATTTCTATTTTTTACGTCTTTCTATATGATAACATGGACTTTTAATAAATTTTACATTTCGAAATAAAATATTTTTCTGACTATTTTGATTCATACTGATCAAACAGTGAACAGGTTCGTTAATTAGTTAGGTATAAGCAGTAAGTGTTTAATGTTTATGGTCAGCTGAGTATAAACTATAGTGAGAGGGTAAGTGGAGTACCCCAGAAAATATTGATCCTCTTTTTCACTCATCTAAACTTTAAATACTTAGAACTATTATCAAGGTTTGCGTTTTCGATTGTTCTTATCCCATTATTTATTTGTATTTAAATCCGGAACTGCGGAGAGTAAAGTGGACAAGATATTTGACAAATAAAAATCGCTGATAATATATTATATCCTGTGCGTACTCGCTGTACAATAAATTATAATTTTTCCAATACGATCATTTTGAATATTATGATATACTGATATCGTATTCAAAACAATTATTAATTTTTGCAATTCATTGGAAGTTTCGAACCATATTATTCTCGAGTACTTATACATTTTATTTTAAGACAGTATAATTTCAAATTTCACGAATTCTGTAATTATTTATATAATTTTAACTATTTTTTTTGTAGACTTTAAGTAACTACATTTTTTTTCCATCCAACATTACTTTTTAATTTATCCAATTACTTTTGGTTTACTGTCTATAATAACATATTAAATGGCTAAATGCATTATAACTTATAAAAGTTTCACTTTGTCATATTTCTAATAATAAAATCTCATTTAGTTCTCTGTCATCTTTTGATGTTCGTCCAATATGCAAATCCTTGATGAAATACAAGTCCTTGGATGTAATATTTTAAGCTTATTCCACATTGTTTACACAATTATATTTTTCTTCATATTCAGTCAAATGTATGAACTAAGTTACATCTATTTCAATTTTATTAACAATTGCATTAATGTTTTGTCTCGGAATTATGCTGTCGAGAGAATTCCTATATATAATAAAATTATAAAATGATGAGTTAAATTCTAAAAATTAAATTAAAATTCAGTTTATTGTTTAAAACAAAATTTAATTTTGAAATAAAAAATTAAATACTAATACATTTTGATTTAATATATTGAGTCAATTGACTACTACACTATGAAATATAGCCTACGACTATACAGGTGTTGAGTAAATATTAACTTTTTAAAATACAAATTTTTTATGCGGTGAAAAAACCTATCCTATCCGCCAAATTTTTGGCTAGTAATAAACACATTATTTTGCCACCGAGTGAGCCGTCTGTCGTATATATAATAGCGCGCCGCATTAATATAAAGATGAATTACCTGCTGAACAGCTCAAGCTCAATGTTGAAAAACACGTATTCTCCACTATCAATCATGTTGAGTTCATCGGCGGCCAACATTATTTCCCTGACCGTTAACGGATTGGCACACACCACCATAACTGAAACAGAAAGGATTACTGAAATTTCACCATGATTGAAAATCCGCTTCCGGACGTATGTATACAGTGAAATGCTGCTGCTGTCGAGAAGAGTGGTGTTGTTCATTATTATTGAAAAACGCAGATTTTTTTATTTTCTAAGTAGGTTTATTTTATTAATTTCTACGTGCTTAAAATTCCACAACACTATAAGGAGCATAATATCCGTGGCATATACTAGTCGAGCTTAATAAATTATATAGGTGGTGTTATATTTATTCAGTGGAGGAACCATAGGTTGTCCGAGGCCAGTGGATAAAATTCACAGAGCCCCTCTAAGTTTTTTTATACAAAAATGTGTTTTTACACCATAATAATAACAAGTAAATAACCTAACCTAACCTAACCTATCATAATATGTAAATTGCATATTATTAATTTAAATTTTTTTTTTTTTTATTGAACGTAAGCCCGGCAACTGTGGCCATTAGCTGTATGGTTTGTTTGTAGGTGTATTGTATTGTTGGTTGTAGTAGGGGGGGAACACGTGTGTGTAATTTAAATTTATAATAGATTACCTATCCATATTATAAAATATGTGTTTTTATGTATTAATAAGTCTTATTATATGTATAATTTTCCTATTTCTGATTCTTTAGTTTTTCTTGTTCCCTATAAATCTTCTATAAAATATATCGTCCATCGTACATTAAAAAAAAAATTTTTATAAGATTTAATAAAAATTACAATAGGATATTTTTTAATTGTTTGGCAACTATCCACACCTTCAAAAGCGTAGTCAGGAGTATCATGATGTACATCTGAGGTACTTGGGATTATTTTCAAATAAAATTAAGTCTAATAAATCTGCTTGCTGGTAATGGACACTAATGATATATATTATGTAAGTTGTAAAAAAAAATTACTATAAATATTGAAACAATTATGTTTAAAAAATATATATATAATATATAATAGTAAAAATAATAGTATTTAATATGAGCTTGCATGGTTTTTTGTTTTTTACGTTTTAAAAGGAGATCGCATCATGCATGAGGGTATAAAAAAATAAGTCATCACTTGTATTTAAAGGAAGAGAACCTAAAGATAAAAACGCGTAGCCGTACATCAAAAAAGGCATTCAATGGTCAGAGACTATAGGACGGCACGTGATAGTCCTTACTACAGACGCAGTATTACAGGCTGACCTAAATTGTGAGGTCATATAAGCTCAACTAATAAAAACAAGAGTTAAAACAAATGTGAAGAATTTTCACTATCATAATATCCCAAGACCCAAATAAAAATAGAACGAAGTGTGAAAAAAATGTATTAGAGGTTCAACCATTCGAGTCCCATAAACTGCTAGACCTATGGACAATCCATCAACAGATACCTAAGTAGGGAGGGTTGGTTTTCATCGCAAATATTTATAAAATCGATAAATATTGCATACAAAATATTATACTGTATTTATTTTATCTTAATATTTTAATTGATTTAACTACTATTGATTGGGAAACACTCCTGTTAACCAATAGTGAATGGTCTGTCACCGTCATTAAAAATCATGGTTTAAATAACATAACCACTGGAGTTGACAGGTAGGTATATAGCAGAGAGGATTTAACACGTCGTTCATGTACTAGCACATAATGTGCTTTATAAAGTTTCCCCTGACAAAATCAGAGACATTTTAAAGTGATATATTATGAAAAATGTAGAATACACCGCATAAGTGATTCTTAAAAGTTTTAAAGTTTACATTGTAAAGTCAACATGTTTTAAATCTATATACAAACGGCTAAAACACAAGAGATGTTTTTTTATTGAATTCCTAATACATATCAAAGTAAGAACAAAACATCTGAACATGTTTGTATCGTGCAGAATTCGATTCAAACCCCTTTGTAGACTATTCAATACATTTATTCTGAAAACCACAACTTCTAAATTATTTTTTTCAATTAAAACATTGTATAATTGGAGATCTATACTTTTTTAAACTCGTAATTTGTAAACAATTTTAGAAGCACAATTATTTGTATTTAAATTAGGTATATTGTGTTTTTGTAAACATTACTTTATTTTGATTAAACTTAAATCAATATAGCCAAGAAATTTAATTTTTTTTTTATTAAATTAATAACATCAAATTATTATAATCAAATTAAGAGTTTTAATGTTTACCTAAGGTTTTTCATAAGCAATTTAATAATCATATAAAGTCTGCAATTACATTTCAATTTATTGAATTAAGTGTTTCGATTGAAACAAGTCGATTCCTCCGTCATTAATATTTAAATATTTTAGGTGAAATGTGTCGAACGAGATCGTACAATTTAAACTGGTATTATACTTGTGTTAAGATGTTAATTATTCATAACAAATTCAGTTCTCTTGACGTGAAATGAAAGGTATAAAATCGAAGTGAAAATACAATATTATATAGGTACCCTCTACTACATCCCTACCTCAGTACGAGCACAATAATAATACCCTAGACGATAAATGCTTTTCAAGGCTAATCCAACCGGCGCGGCGTGATAATTGAGTTTGACCCACCGCCCTAAATTAGTAGGTAAATCATTGGGGGGAGGGGAAGGTGGTATTTATATTTTTTTGACGTAGGCCATTTTATATAATATGGATTCAACACAGTCAGTGGTCTGTCCGAGACACCGTATAGCAGTTACTTAGCTAAGTGTTCCTGACAGGAGCGACCGGGCTATAATGAACTAATTTGTCGACCCTTACCTCGTTTACCGGGTACTCGCTTCAAACTTGGCAACCCATAGTCACTTAACTGCTGCACGTAAACATTATGTATACAAAGCAATTATTATTGTTTTTCAAGCGTCATAATAATCATAATAATAATAAGTAGATAATATAATATATTACTAGTTTGAATTTCCCAAAATGTTATAACAAATCTTACAACATTGGAAATATTAGCTATATACAGGGCATTCACTAGGGCGGGGAGGCGGTTGGACCTGGAGTACAAGGGACCTGATTTTAGAGGCTCGTCGAAATGAATTCGTAGTTTTTGAAATTTTGATAGGATTACTTTTTTACATCAAATAATAATTTATGATATAAATGTATATATTATTATATTATATTAATATGATGCTACCCATTAATTTGTTGTCTCCGTTTTACACCCGTACGACATAGCTACGACATAACATTCACTGGTTTCAATAATGTGCTGTTATTTTTAATATTATACTGAAATCAAATTTTTAGACAAGAACATTATCTGTGTTTAAGAGCCGGATTTTATTTAATACTTTAATTTTCAAGAGCGATATATGAAAGTTTTTAATTTCTGATATTTCACATATCGATTTCTTGTTCGAAAATCAAAATTTGAAAAAATCGTAGACGCTTAAGCACAGATAATGTTCTTACCTAAAATTTTGTTAGTTGGTCAATTCACTATTAATATCAAAACTAACAGCACACTAAAGAAACAATTGAACGAAAATTGTCATACGTGTGTAGTAGCTGACGGAGAATACAAATTCATGGGTAGCATCCTCTTAAGTCATTCTGTTACGTATTTTAAGGTTTGGTTAACCATTCATTATCTAGAAATCGTGTATGGGATACCCGTTAAGCTTGTATATTGGGTTTTATTTTATTGGAATTTTTGTATAGGGCTCGCAAAAACATTTAGTACAGGAAGGTCCGATAAAAGTTTGATGGGAGGGGGCTGGCCATATAATTATAGGTCTATGAATATATGATATTCCGTTGCATATTGCATTGGGTGTAATAAATACAATGGTGTTAAGTTGGCTCGTTCCCAAAAAATAAAACCGATTTAAATGCACACTTTATCGCGAAGACGAGACCATAGGTAGTTGCGCTGCTGCAGTAGTTAGCTTTTATCTTTGAACCATCAAATCCAATTTAACGCAATAATTATAGTGGAACAAGTTACGGCATGTGATCGTTGTTATAATAATTATTACAGTGTGTTCAGCTTCAAACGGTTTACACTTATCCTTCGTCGTCCAACGTGATGTAGCGCAAAACAATTCAGACGTTTGAAACGCACTCAATTAAATGCTCGCAAAAGAACACGAATTAGACGACTTTTGCGACAAACGACTCTGTGCATAACGTATACTTGACGTATATTTTATGTATTCAAAAGGTTGAATCCAACATAGACAAACGTATGAGCTGAGTACTGTGTAGCCCATCTTCACTTTGATAGAATTTATTATTTAAGTTGGTACAAACACATTATAATATAAATTATAAGACGACGAAAATAAATAAATACAATTTCTGCAACATTTAACAAACAGTATTTGCAAAAATAAAACGCTCTCAACCGTGTTTCAACTATTTATTATTACCATCATAATATTCTACTGTATAGTGTTTACTCTTAAAAATATTTCGTTTACTCCGAGATAGTAAAAAGTCACAGTTTGTTGAGTATGTGGAGCTCCGCGCTAAGTTTAGTAACGTGTTGCTAAAATCGCTTCTTATGTAATGCATATTTTATACCTAATAATATCCGTTGTTTAAACAGTTTAAACCATCAACATACACCTCGCACCGAGTATATTCTCTATTTAATTATACATTTTGAGAAATTTATCTCGACTTCCACTTAACCTAATAGCCGCAAATAAGTTAAAAATTAAAATTTTATCTGCAAGTATATCACTAATTTGTAATGGTTTATCGTTGAACTGTCAATCGTCTTCCAGTATAATATTATTGAAACATTTGAAAATTGGAAATCATAAGAATGTATTTAAAATTCCAAAATATAAAATATTTAATATCTATATCGTTTGAGAAAGGTACCTACGAAAGGGACCTCGAAAAACAAAGGAATCTAATTTTAAGTCACGTGCTGGCTATAAATAATCTTCATTGAAATAAAATATAACTCAGTTCTTAAAGAGGTATTAAGTAGTTATGTATAAGCATTAATCAATAATCAATATTAAAAAGGCGCATAATCCATGTACTATATTGAGTATATA